TGATATATAATAGTTCCCTAGATCCTCCTCCTTGACATTCTTGAAGACAGGATTGATATTTGCTTTGTTGCAGTCCTCAGGAACCTTCTCTTATCATCATGACCTTCCAAAGACAACAGACTGGCCCTGCAATGATATCAGCATGCATCTCATGAGGTCACATGGACTTCTATATGTTCAGTCTATTTAAACGTTCCCTAACTTGATCATCCTCTGCAAAAGGTTAAGTCTTCCTTGTTTCAGCCACTGATGTCAGAGGTCTGGGATTCCTGAAGTCAGGACTTACCAGTAAAAACGGAGGTGAGAAAGGCATCGAGCACATTGATTTTTCCATGTCCTTTGTCACCAAGTCACCTGCCCCATTCAGCGGTCGCCTAACATTGTTCCTAGTGTTCCTACGGCTGCTGATATGCCTACAGAAACCATTCTTGTTGCCCTTCATATTCCTGTTAGATTCAACTCCACATTGGCTCTGGCTTTCCTCACCCCATCCCTGTGAATTTCGGTCATGCCCTCTACAATCCTGGCCTGGCCCTGCTTCCACCTGTGGTATTGGGGGTGGGGGGAGGGGGTGGTTTGGGTTTTTTTTAGGAGTGGGGCCGGGTGTTATTGGGTGGGCAGGTTTTTTTGTTTGATTTGGGTTTTTTTTGTTGGGGGGGGGGTGTTGTTTTTTAATATTTTAGTTTTGTCTGGACCTCCTTATGCATCCATGCAGGCCTCCTGATGCTTTTGCTTGCCCTACCGCGTGTGAGGATGAACTGTTCTCAAGCATTGAGGAGGTGATCTTTGAATATCAACTAGTTTTCCTGGAGCTCTTTTCTCTTCAGAGTCATATCACATGTTACTCTTCCAAGCAGTTCCTTGAACGGTCAAAGTCTGCTCTGTTGAAGTCCAGGCCTACGATCCTGCTGTTTGTCTTGTTCCCTTTTTTCAGGATTCTGAATTCCACCATTTCATCATTACTGCAGGCAAGATTGCCCTGACCTTCACATTCCCCACCAGTTCTTGCTTGTTTATAAGTATGAAATCCAGCAGTGCACCTCCCCTCATCAGCTCCTCAATCACTTGTGTCAGGAAGTTCTCAATGCATTCCAGAAACCCCCTGGATTGCTTGTGCTCAGTTGTTCTTCAGCACGTCAGGATGATTCATGTTGTCTACAGGAGTACAAGGGCCTACAAACATGAGGCTGCTTCCACTTGTCTGAAAAAGGCCTCATCTTCTACCTCTTCCTGAAGAAGGCATCTGTAGCAGATACCCACAACAATGTTGCCTGTGTTTGCCCTCCAGTCTTGATCCATAAACGCTTCACAAGGCTCATCATCCATTCCACAGCAGAACATGCATTCCCACTTCTCTCTCATATGAAGTCAACTCCCCGCTCCTCGCCGTCCTGGCCTTGTCCTGCCTAAAAAGTCCATATCTATCCATTATGCCACTCCAGTCACGTGTGCTATTGCACTATATCTCTGTGATCCCAGTGAGATCACAACCCTGCAATCTTTTGATACTTAGTAGAAAGTATCAAGAACAACTTTTTCCTGCATGTTAAAATATCCTATGCAACTGAATAGACCCTCTCAACCAACTAATTCTATAGAAGCAGGTAAAAGTAAAACGCACAAAACTGGTATCACATATTGACAAATGCCAGTTTTCAGCTTCTACTCAAATACATAGTTTTCTATTCTTTTTAAGAGCTAAGATTTTGTATGTCTTTAATACATATAATTTATGGTATAAGGTTGTAATATTTCTCCTCTGAAGAACATTCATCTCGCACTTAGAGAACTCTGTACATTCACAGAATACAAAGCACAGGTCAGTCTCAGGTTTTTTCATTGAACTCCAAGAATGGAAGCTATTATGTCTACGGACATAACAGGAGTTCTAAGGCTTGTAGTCATGGGCCTACTAATGAGAAGGCAAGAAACCGGCATCAACAGACAAATGCATGATGGACAAATAAAATGAGACAATTTTGGCCAGTGGGAAGCTCAACACACTAATATCCTACGTGGCTGTCAAGATTTTTGTAGGCACCAAAGAAAGAAAGAGCTAGAAGGCAGTACTTAAAAGGAAATTACAGGATGACTATGCACAAAAGCTTGTGGTTATTTTCCTTGGGAGCAAACAGCAGTATGAAAATATACAAAGACCTAGATCCACAATGGGACGCAGGTACTGTATGAGGTGGCTCGGTCTGTACTTACTTGAGAATCTGGGCTCAAATTGCTTACATTATTATTTAACTTGTGGGAGTAATGCCTAAAATGGGGCAGGGTGGGAGAAAAGGCTATGCATAAACATGACAGGAACAGGCAGTTAAGGTGGTTCCTTTTTGGCAAGGCATATTCTGCATTGCCCTCTGGCTATAACATCACCAGCACCAGAGAATGTATTCTGTACGGTCCTGCTGTGAAAAAATAGCATGCAATTAGACAACAAAGCTACAAGTTAACTTGAATTAGGTGTAGCAAATGTGATTAAACTGGGCATTTGTAAGTATCTGAGAGAAAAGAAACTTCAGGAATGATAGATAGTAAACAGCAATAACAAAGCAATACTGTTTCTTATGTAAAGGGTCTTAGGAGACATCAGAACTGTCAGCTCCATTTCACAGCTAGAGAGGCTAATGTATTGAGTGGCAAAACAATTCATCTGAGCTCACTCACAAAGTAAGTGGCAGAGCAGGGAATGGAAATCCCACTCCCTGAATCAGCGTCCTGTTCACAAAATCATCTGATAGTGGCAAATCACCTTCAAGGAGTTATCAAAAAAATGGATAGCCAGGGAATTCTTTCCAGCTATTACTGTGAAGATAACAAGGAGGAAACATTTTCTACCGCAAAGTCAAGTGACAACTTATGTTCCTGTCACTTAGACTTTGGAAAGATCTCCTATCACGAGTCCTTGGAGAATCACCTTCAGAAATACTAAAGAGCAGGATGATATAGATGGGGATGCAACATGCCCTGATTAATGCTGCCCTCCAGTGACTAAAGACAAAGAGTTCCCGTCTCCTCCAAACACATCTTAACCCAAATATCTTTTCACTCAACCAAATACATGTCTGGAATTAAACATCAGTATTTAAAACTTAACTTTTTTTTTAATTGACATTCACTACCCATTATAAACTTTGGTCCATTTCAGCTTCTTCACAACTCCAAATCACCTCCCTATTATCTCTTTTACTTATACTGTGCCTCAGATTTGAGGAATGCCTTTCTCCCCCACATGCACCATTTACTACAGCTGGTCAGTTCAGGCTCCTGCCAGTCACCGATGTCTTCCTGCCCCTTCCCCACATGCCACGGAGTCACCTCCCTTCTCCAATCAAAGTGTGATGTAAAGCAGCAACAACAATCTGAGAGTATGGAACAGCTGAGAAATTGAACTGATCAAAAATCTAAACCATAAGCCAGGAAGTGCAAAAACATCCACCCACACACAATTAAAACCCACAATATTTAATCAATATTCACCAAACTATATCAAGTCCTGCAGTATTTATGTATTGGGATCACATGAGGAACCACCTGGTAAAATGAGTAGCAGACAATCAAATTTGAAGAAAGGTAAGTTATGTTTGCTGGGTTTGGATTTTAAGTTTTTTGTTTTGGGGTTTTGTTGATGCTGTTGCTAAGTACAATTTTAAAAGGTGTTTAATTTAGCCCATGCCTAAACCCTTACATAGGTGACTGATCCTTCAGATTTCTGCTAAACAGCATTGATGACTCAAAGCAGGCATGTGTTTTAACAACTTGTTGAATCAGGACCTGAGTTTTCCTGGAGGGAATTATTGAGGTATTCCCCAAAGCTCCTCCAAGAGTATTCTATGTAAGCTTTCAAACTCATTTTAACATTCAATGTTAAAATATAGTACTGTAGAAGATCATAGTGAATCTGATCCAGCTTACTGCAGCACAGCCTGTAAAATTTCACCCCCTTAAACTTTAAACGCAACAGCTGGGGTTGAAGCCATTCAGTCTTGCGATAAAGAACAGAGATAAACATAAGCCACATTCATCAACATTTAAGTTATCTTATACCTAAAAGCCACTTGGGTGGCTGGTGTCTTGATACTGCAATGTACTGAGTTCTTTACCAATAGCCAAGTGCAACACCTACCTTATGCTTTGCTTTAAATGGGACGTTTCTGTGACCTGCTGGCTTAAGGCTCAACTTCTTAGCACGTACCAGCACATAATCACATGGAAGGTGCATGAGAATGGTTCAAAGCCACATCAGGGGACGTTTAGACTTGACATTAGGAAACATTTCTATACAGAGAGGGTGGTCAAACACTTGAACAAGTTTCCTAGAGAGGTGGTCAATGCCCCATGCCTGTCAGTGTTTAAGAGGCATTTGGACAATGCCCTGAACATGCTTTAACTTCTGGCCAGCCCTGAAGCGGTCAGGCAGTTGGACTGGATGATCCAGGTAGGCCCCTTCCAACTGAAATATTCTGGTCTATTCTAGGTAGTCCAAAACTGGCCCTTTCTGAGCTCACCAGGAACATAAAAGCAGCAAGATGGGGAATGGAAACATATGCTCTCTGTGCCTACAACCCAGCTTGGGCCCAGAAGAAAACTACCCATACCTACAAACCAAAGGTTTCTGCTACCTACTTTACAGACATAGCCAACTCTACATGTGTCTTCAGCCTTAAATTTTGGCCCATCAAGAAGAGGTGCAAAACTCTGCTGTGCTAAGAATCAGACCACTTTTGGATGGCAGACCTTGTCAAGGAGGCAGTGAGCAAATGTAGCCAGATAGTTCCCAAGCTGGAAAATCTGAACAGCTCTGTCCTGTGCTGCTCAAGCCTCCGCAAGTTTTCGTGTCTCTGCCTTGTGCTGCATTTCATAATAGAAGCACGTTCCTAATGACCAGCACTAATTCTTATAGCAACGCAAAGTCTTATGTTGAGTTAGGGATAGAGAGAGAGTACTAGCCAGAGATACTGCTCAAATTAACTGTCAAAAAACCAAACACCTACAGTCCACTCTAAGGCCGCCCTTGGTTCCTTCACAGGTCCATTGGAGACTGCAATGTTGAGGGAATGCACAGGAGCCAAGTGCTGGAGGCCTGACCTGGAGATTGCTTTCCTGCAAATCAAAAAGAAAAAAACAAATAAATGAAGTATATATCTAGTATAACTACTCAGTGTAATTATCCACCCCACCCTTCTCCAGAAATCAGAAGAGGCAGTCCAGCATCTACTTTCAGCTTGGGTGAAATGGTGCTTGAATGCCATCTCCTGCTAAAGCTGTTTAGGAAAAGAATAAAGTAATCTGATCACTGAAAATTACTGTCTAATGAAGATCAGTTACTCATCTGGCACTAAGCTGCAATATCAAATCCAGCGGACTACATATGGTTCTGTTTGCCAGTTTCAGTGGAGTCCTCATTCATTACACCTATTCCTTACATACCAACTGAACCTGCTGAATCGATTTATGCATAATTCCAAATAGCCTTTGTTGGAGGAATGAAATATGAGTTTATACAAAGAGTGCAACATCTGTTGTTTTTACTTAGTTTATAGGCTGGGAGAAGTCATCCATTCAGCATCTGACTAGGTAAAACAAGACATGGGGACACCACTTGGCAAGGAAGGGCAGTCATACACTACTATTTTTTTTTATCATATCAGCATCTCCCAAGGTGTTGCAGCTTCCTTCCATTTATATTTCAATTTGATCCTTTTGATCCAAAGTAATTCTTACAGCTCTTGTGGCATAGATATGGCCTCCTTCAAAAGTCACAGATGGTGACCAGAAATCCTCCTGGAGCTCCACAGGCACTGAGGGGGTATCCACTGCCTGTTTCCCTAGAGGCACCCAACCCTGCCAGGTCGGCCTCAGATGGTGAGCCATTAGGTGGAAGCACAGCACACTGCTGATACAAAGCTCAGCTGCACTCGGGTAGTAGGTTTCATAAAGCTTCATAACATTATTGTGTTGATATTTGAGCACCTGATGGTGGTGGACAAAACAATCTCAGAGCTTCAGCTGCAATGATTTGGAAGAGGAAAACACATCTTAAGGAGAGATCTCCTTTTGTAAGCCAAATGCACTCATCCCCCACAAAGTGAAATGACAGTCTGTTTGTGTAAAGTACATTTTTGTGATACCACTCCAACAGTGCAACAGCTATTTATAGCATCTCCTAATCTTACCACTGTCCCAATAAAGGTCAATTGAGCCAGTGATGACAATTCAGTTCATCCATATGCTAAATAAATCTTTTAATGGTCCTGAAAATATACAATGCGATATATACCCACAGTAAAGGAGCTTGGAAGGCTCGCTACTCACAGTGCACGTCCAGAAAAATAATCAAGGGGTTGAATCTGAATCTCTTGAATTTCCTTTCCTGTGGTTGGCATGAACAACACGGAACTCAACATCAGCCTCTGATCATCCACTGCCTCCTTTCCACTTAGCAATGTGGGCAAGACATTGACATTAGGGGTTTTTTCTAAAATATTTTGCATTTGATGAAAACCCATTAGAGGTAAGGAGCCCAAGGAAAAGACTTTCACTACCTGGCAATGCATCGGGAGAGAACAATTTAGCAAGAAAGATTTTATGACTTATATGTCAGTACAACATATGCTAAAAATGTCTTCTCAATGACCAGATTAAGGCCTTAAAGAAACTAACCACAAGAAACTACAAAATTATTATTTTTTTAAATATATTTTTCCAGAAAACTGTCCAATACTTGGCAGTCATCTTCCATGCTGTTTTGGGTATGAATTTAATTATTAGTGGTCCCTAAACACAAGAGTACACTCTTGTGTCTATTCATGGTTTATAACATGGCAATTTGTCTTCGCGGAAACGGGGCAGTATCACATTTTCCATCCTGCATCACTGACAGTGATAAAGCAAACTTACTTAGTCCTGCCCTCATAACAGAGGAAGGTAGCATCCACTTTGTGCAAAGAAGTACTTAAGCAAAGGCAGCTGAATAATAAAGAATTAGCAATTAATTTTTATTTGATGAAAAACTGCCAACATTTTCAGCCAACAAGGCTTACAGCCTATTACTTGCCAAGCAATACAGCCTGTAAAGTTGTATGCATCCACTAAGCAAATTTACTGAAGCAAAGTCTGCGATGAATATTTCTAGGAACAAATTTATCTGACCAGTCTGAGGACAAGGCTTCCAGCTGGAAAGCAAATTCAGCAGAGACTTAAAAGGTAAATATGCCAAACGAACAGCTACAGACATCTCAGCATCCAGCCGTGGATACTGTTTCAAGTCAGAATTAGAGATGTGCAAGCCTCCTGCAGCAGAACCGGAAAGCTGGCCTACCTTCCTTTAAAAGCGAGCCGAGCTGATGAGCCTTTTTGGGGAGACTTGGCACAGTTTTGTGCCAACAGCCCGTCCCTCCTCTGCATGCCAAGCTGGATTTATGGCTTTGTCTGGAAAGCACACAGAACACAGGCATGACAATTATGCCTTTTTTTTCAGGTTTGTTTTAACATAAAAGCCTTAAAATTATCTCAGGGATTGCAAATTTGCAACCACCAGCCAGAAGTGACCCTTAGGCCCAGGGGCAAGCTAAAAATGCCTACTTTTACACAGCTTCTTATCAGAACTTTATTTCAGAACAAAGAGAGAAGTGTCAAAACACACCGCATGCACCGCAGAAGTGTTTCCCGTTTAAAAAAAAAAAAGAGGAGGTCAGGCTAAAGAGTAAATGCATGGCCTTCTAAGAAGTGTAAGGCAGACAAGACAGGGAAAAATGGGGAGAAAGAGAAGGTAGCATAAATCTGATAGAGTATCCAGGTGATCATATCTCCTATTACTTTAACTAGCAGATTATACCACCTGGCACTTTTCGAATAGCAAGGTAACACAAGTGGCTTTTACTTTTCTTTCCCAGCAATTTCATCTCCACTGTGCCAAGTGCATGAATGAAAACACAGGCTCCACAGACATCCTTTCCCATAGAAGCAAAAGTAAACACTGTTCCCCTGGTAAGAGACAGCCAGAAAAAGTGAATCTGTGCTTTCATGATAGATCCCATTTTCAGACTATGAAGTCCACAACTTTGTTAAAATGAGCACTGTGGCCAGCTTGCACCCAACAGCAAGGAAATGTTGCATCATAAGTAGCGAGCTATATTTTGATAATTACTTTTTCATATCCAGTAATCGATATTTTGTAGTAGATGTTATTATTGACTTAGCTAACACACCACCATTATGAATAAGCATGGGTGCACATGCTTGACACATGTGTATGCCATTAAATATACTACAAACAAAAATATTTGATACTAATTCCATAGTTGATACCATTAAAGAAATTCTTGAACAGAGGAGCTGACTGTCTTGGTAACCAAAAGAAATCAGATATTCAAACAATTCAAGTATAACAACCAATTTTTTTTTTTTTTAATATTACATTTTCATTTTGCTGAAAAGTCAGGGGAGACTCAACCTACTTATTAGATCAAACAATATATATTTGATTAGGGGGGATTTGAGTTTATATCCCAGGCTTTGGCTTTACTGAGCCTTTTCCTCCACCTGAGGTATACGAAAATCCTCCAATGACTTGTTTAGGCTGAATAGTTATGCCTGAATCCTCAAAGACCACAAAAGACAATTAGTCAATAGTACACAGCTCATTTAAGCTTCAGAAAAATCTATTTGGAAAAGAAAGAGTAAGCTAGTGCTGCGTATGGTTGATAGATTTGAGTGTCATTTTAGTTGTCACTGGTGTTGGAGTTGCTGCCTTTCCAGGCTGGGGTTATTACCCTCCTTTTCATAGGGGCGTAAGTTACCATTGGGATAGTCTCTCAGCTGCAAGGTTGAGCGATCATAAAAATGCAGACATGGGCTTCCACAGATACTATGGCTAGGACATCTGTCAGAAGAGAGATTTTTGGAGTCTTTTCTCAAAATTAATCTAGATATTTACCAAGAAAAGGACAGTCATTTGTATAACAATGTTTAAGTTACAATAGCTCTGCTTCTCTTTGAATATTCAATGTAGATAAACCCTACACCTGCCAGCTCTCAGCTTTGCCAACCACAACTGAAAAATCCCTGTACGAGGCCAGACAGTACCTGCACCCTGTACGAACAATTTGTATGCGCCCGAATTTGTTCGCAGGTGGTTTTCACTCCTGCAATTCGATGCTTATGAAAGTCACGAACAAAATATACTGGCTAAACTCTGGCATTATTTAAGTCTTCCCCACGCGCCTCTGCTGCCTGCGCAGCGCTCCTGCAGCCCGCTGCTCCCAGCTTGCCGTCAGGGCATGTAATGTTCCCCTTTCGAGCTGACCACAGGGCAATGACTATTTCGCTGCAACATCAACATTCCCAAATTTTTTTGTTTTTGATATAAAAAGAGCCTAATTCAGTCAAATCCAATCTGTCTGGTCCGGTATCCCGTTTCTGACAACAGCCAGTAGCAGGTGTTTAGAGAAGCACTGGCACAAACTGGGTGATCCTTCCCCTGACATACTCCAGTCCCAGCTTCCAGTAATCAGTAGTTTAAGGACTTCCTGAGCTGGAGGCTGCTTCCAGACCTTTGTGCTTAATAGTCTGTAATGGCTCTTTACTCCAGGAATGTGTGTTGGTCCTTCCCTGAACCCATTTATACTCCTGGTCTCCGCAGCAGCCTGCCTAATGAGCTCCACAATTTAATTATAGGCAGTGTAAAGTACTTCCTTCAGTCTGCTTTAAAAATTCTGCCTGATAATTCACTTGGTGTATCATATTGTGAGGAACAGCAAGTAATCACTTGCCTCTCCACACCTTCTGTGATTTTATGAATCTATTCATATACCCCTTCATTCACCACCACAAACACCCCGCACCAAGTGGAAGCGCCCTAGACCATTTAGGCTTTTGCTAGTACTGAAGCTGTTCTATTTTTGTCTATGTTTTCTAGCTCAGTTATATTTTTTTTTGATCTGGCTACACCAGAGGTTTATCAGTGGTGTCATTGTACTTTCTGCATTGTTCTCTTTTTCCCCTTCCCTCATTCTGAGCCCTTTATTTGCCTTTTTATCACTGTGAGCATGGAATTAATCATTTCATAGGAGTACTTGTAATTATCCGAAGACCCTTCTCTG